GGCCCCTGTTTATCTAGAAGAAAGGAACTAGTGGGAACATACACAGCTTTAAGGACTTGCACCCAATAGTTGATTAGGATTCTGCAATACTCTCCAAGCTGTTTGGGCTAAAAGCGCATAATTGAAATTCATAAAATCGCGAAAGTCAAGACCCCTTCCTTTTTCGGGGTGTATAGCTTACTCCAAGCTTTTTGATGAATAGAGTTCGTAGAATCAGATTATCCCCAAAAAAAGTTAGCTACAAGGCTATTTATCTTAGTACAAGTCCTTTGAGGAAATTTGAAGCAAGTCATGGGATAAATAGGGATGGCATTAATTACATACTTAATCATTATTTCTCGTCTAGCAAAGGAAAGGAACTTGCTCTTCCAATTGTGAACTTTATGGCCCACTTTATCCGGGACATAGACTAATGCAGCAACTTTTGAACGCCCTTACAAAACAGGTAGACCCAAATAAGAACCTGAATTATCCACAGCACTCACATGAAGAAATGCGTAAACCTCATCCTTAACTACTTGCGGTGTATTAAAGGAGAAAAATAGAGATGACTTGTCATAGTTAATATGCTGACCTGAAGCGTTGCAATAGGATTGAAGGAGCTCTTTTATGATGCTGCAGTTCTTCCTATCAGCATGTAGGAATGAGATTGTATCATCAGCAAACAGGCAATGAGTCAACATTGGACAATCAATAGTGATTTTGATTCTTGTAATGTCTCCGTTTGCAACATGCTTAATTAGCACAAGAGATAGCACTTTAGTAGCAATAATGAAAAGATATGGGGATAGTGGGTTGCCTTGTCTCACCCCTCTTTCAGGCTGTATACGAGCGATATTTTTACCCAAAACCTGAATATTAAAAGCAGGACACATAACACATTTCACGATCCATTTAATCCAAATTTCACAAAAGCCCAACTTTGTTAGGACAACCTTAATGAAGCCCCATTCCAATCTGTCAAAAGCTTTATTTATATCCATTTTAAAGGCAAAAAAACAATCATTCCCAGTTCTGTGTAATTTCAAAAAATGGAAAACCTCATGAATTAAGATTATATTATCATGTATAAGACGTCCTGGGATAAAGGCTCTTTCACTTGGAGACACATAATCACCCAACATATTCTTAAATCAATTAGCTAAGACTTTTGAGAGGGCTTTGAAGGCAAAATTACATAGACTTATTGGCCTAAATTGGCTAATCATTTCAGGCCTTTCAATCTTATGTATAAGAATTAGATTCGTTTCATTCAAGGAACCGGGATCTTCATCTTTAAAGAGGATATTGCCTTTGGTGAGGTTTGTTTCTCTAATCTCACATTAAAAAAACACAAACAATATGACGGGGCTATGTAATTTCTAGTTCTACGTCATATAAACATACCTCATCCATACCTCATCTTTGATGAGAGATTACTCTCAGTTTGTGTTTTTTTTGTACTTGTTCAAAATATAAATCAATTTATTGGGTTATGTCTGGACAATCTAGTCCATTGCCTTCTTTAAAAAAAAATTAGCATATCGACTTTCAATTTCAATGACCCCTTGCCCCAGTTCCTCACTATCACCTTTAACCTTCCTAATCATTCTCCCCCCTACTGTGTGAATACAAGTGGAAGATTCTAGAGAGCCAGTGGATTAGAAAGGGCTGAGCGGCATACAAGTGGAGCTTTACTCAGCATCAATAAGCATCGCCAATTGGATTGAATGGAGAGGCAATGAAAGGATCCAAGTATGCAAGAGTGCAAGATTGGATAACGGAGAGAAAGTGAACTCGCCTGGTGGTGGTGATCAACCAGGGCCCAAGAAGAGAAGACACGGAGGTGAGTGTGGTTGTGTAGGGTTCTTAGTTTTAGCTATACAATAGATTTGAGGCATGGGGGAGGTTGTGATTACTAAAGTCAAGGTTTAGTACTTATGCCTTGTTTGGTACAAGCTATTGAATTTTAAATGATTAGGAATGTGACTAGCCATGTGATTGGAAAAGGGTATGAGTTTTACAGTAGTGTTTGGTATTGGCATGCAATTAAAAGAAGGGTCAAATGGCAAAAATATTCATAATTTTTTTTCAATGAAACCCATTATTCTTAAGTAAAGGGCAATGTAAGAGTGCTCATAATGTTGATAAAATAGGTGTAAAAATGCTCAAACCATTAAATTTAACTAACATCCGTTAAAGTTAGCCATTAAAAAAAGTTAACATAAAATGCAAAAATACTCATTAACTTTTTATCTAAGAGTTTCTGATATCCTTAAATCAATAATGATACAAGGGTATCATGAACTTTATAAAAAACGCAATATAGTCAAACTTGATCTTAACAAGATCCTCACCATTTTTTTTCAAATAAAAAAGGATTACAAACCACAAAGGTTTACACTAAAACGGGATCAAAGAAGGACTTCCTCTCATTATCTACCATTTTAGTACAATAAGTAGGAGTTGATCGAAAATAATCCACAAACCTAAGTAGTCCTGGGCTTTACTAGCAAGCAAATGATCAGCACAATATTAAAATTAGGTTCTCTAAAGAATCTTCAAAAGACCTTCTAGTCTTTACAAAGAAGCAATTTAACCTTATCAATCAAATCTTTATATAGATGCTCATAAGTTACTAGTCCTTTGTTGGATGAGATTTAGAGCTTAGTACAATCAGTGAATATCCTTACCCTGTGATAACCTCGATCTCTCCCAGCAAAGGTGTTGGCCATATAAGATTCCAGTATCCCATTCATCTTCTACTTCACTCCATAAATCCTCCCTCCTCCCTATCTCATGTTCTTGCTTTGATGACCTCAATGATCTTGTCCTCTTCACTAACGCCACAATTTTTGTCACCCATTCCATTTCCACCTCTAGCTTATTAGGCACCAAAGATCCTAAATACAAAATTGCTTTCCTCTTCCTCACCATTTCCTCTTCCTAATCACCTCCTGCTTTACATCTCTGTAGATTCTCACCATTTGACACTCTAATTGGTTGTGTTGAATTCATTGAAGAATAGTGCAATTTTTGAGTAAACAACACAAATCTGGAACTTTAATGGAGGGAGGTAGACGAAGAATGAGAAGGCTAAAAGAGATAGGTTTTATGGCAAGGAGAGTAAAGGAAAGGTGTCACTATGGGTGGAAAACATCACTAGTATGGAGGAGGAAGAAGTAATGATAGAGGGATGGGTTGAAGTGCAATTTGATCTAAAAATTTCAATCCTAGAATTGATTTTCTAATACTAGAGGATGATGGTATTGGATAATCCCGCCCAACCCATGTAGGTTAATTGATATTGAGATTAGAATGCTCATCACCATATACCAAACTTAAAAAGTTAGTATTACCCAATCCCAACCCTCCAATCCTACATACCAAACAAGGCCATAGTTAGTAGCTTATTAAGGATTTTCTTAGAGAGGTTGTAGGAAGGAGGGAGAGGGAATAAATAAATAATTTAACATCCAATCGTCTTCCATCCCAACAATAAGAAGAGGTCTCTTTGGTTTAAGAATCTCCTTTCTCAAATTATTATAAAAGCTCTCTTTAAACATCATTGCTCTAGCCATGAAGTTCTTTAATTCTTTTTTTGACCTTCTCCATCCTAATCTCTATATTAGCAAAACAAGGTACAACCTCGTTTGCAATTGGTTTTCTTTTACTTCTTCTAGATTACAATATAAGATATTTTCTAAAAGCCCTACTTAAAATATAAGGCATTGAGTTGTTTTTATAATTGTTTTTTCAATTATACTTCTATTTCATTTAATATTCTTTTTGGAAAAATATGTATTGGAATCATCATTAAGACACTTATATAAAGTATTTAATGACAATATAATTGGAAAGATATACAATTTCTTAAAAGATTAAGATTCCATCTAATTTTTTAAGAATTTTGAAACAATACCAATACCTTATATTATGGTCTAGAAAGAATACAAACTAAACACTCTTGACTTATATGGGAGTCATATACATTGAGTGTAAAATTGAATGGGCTAGACCAAGTTGAATCATAAATTAGTGACTTAATAGCTTTGCCAACATGGTCCTAAAAGTAAGCTGTGGCTTTTTTCTAACTCGAATAGCCCAGTTCCAATATGTCAACCTAGTAGTATTATTGGGTTGGCTGTGTTATATTTTATTATTATTTCTTCTTTCAAATAGGGTTGCACATGGGTAGGATTAAGTTGGGCATCACCCTTGCCCGATGTCCAATCCAATGTATAGTTTGGGTCAATTAAACTAAAAAACTTTTTTTTTACAAATAATTAATATCATTTAAATATATTTTTATAAAATTAATATTAGAATCAAAAGTAATTTTTTAAAATTACATATGATTAACTATTGCCAATTATTTTTATATAATATTGAGTTAAAACAAATTTTAAATTTGGAAAGAGATTAAAAAATTGTAATGATAAGAAATGTCTAAAAAGATTATAAAAACAATAAAGTTCATAATAATTTTAAACCAAAAATAATATCACAACAACATATTATGGGAACATTTTATATCCCCTTGACCCAACATAATAATAATAATAATAAAACTACAACTGAAATTTTACTGTACATTTAGAGGATTAAAATAAAATTAAATAGCTGACTCAAATGATCTTATCGTCTATGGTGAAGCTAAACACATATGAACAACTCATATAATGTAAGTGAAATGAAAGTTGCAAATTCAGAGTGATATTATATTATTAATAAAAGTTATAAATTTTACCTATATCAATTATTTATTTTTTTAAGTGACAGTAATTTATTTTCTCTACATAAAATGCTCTTGTTGGGGCTTGGCATGATAGAATTTGACTCTTGCCTGGTGTCATTCCGAGATGCCCAAATGGCTAGGGCTAGGGCTGGGCTGGGCTGGATGGGGTGGGGTGTCCGGGCTTGAGGCAATGTGAATAGTCCTTCCAGCTCTAGACATAGAAAACGGCGTCGTTTTGCTCACTAAACAAAGAAAAAAAAAACTAATCGAACGGCCGAATCCTATCCTGCTCTCCGACGGCGAAGCTTTTCTTCTTCCTCCTTCTGCTCTCCTCGGCTCTGACGGCTAACTCTGCTTCTTCCTTCTTCTCTCCAGCTCTCTGACGGCGTAGCTCGCGGACTCGTGCTACTGCGGCGCGTCTACTCTCTCCTCAACGGCTTCGTGAAGCTTCAAGCTCGCCGTCACTCTCCCTCTGTTAGGTAACTTTGGTTCATATCTCTCCCTCTGCCTCATTTTTTTTTTTAAAATTTTTCTTGGTTGTCTTTTATATTAGTTTGTGATGACGATGGAGTTAAGCGTGAGTTTGATGATCGAATATTTGTTCTGAGAGCTTTCAATCTCAGCAAACACACGCTGCAACTTTCAATTTGAACATTAGTGGGTTTTTTATTTAAATATTACTTTTTTTAACTAGCCAAATATAAATAATTTTGTATATTTTAGTTAATTTACATTATTTTATCCGTGATCACTTTGAACCCGAGTTGATCGGGCTTGTACAACTGACCTGAAGCCAGTGCCGCCATTGGTTCAAGGATCCGGTCTTTAATACCTTATTCATATATTATTTAGTTCTTTCATCGTTGTCTCTAGATTTCTCTAATCTTTTGAAAATCGAGGTAGGGCTTTCTGTTTTTGTTTGATTTAGAAGAGGGAAAAATAGACATGACAAAGTAGCCGATGGTTTTATGAGGAAAGGGGTAGTTTGATGTCATATTATAGTTTGTAAACCTATATGAAGTCCAATTTTTGTCATTCAGTGGTACTTGATTGCTTATGGTTTGTATGTTGAGTGTACTTAAATGATTATTACTGAGGATTTTTCTGATACAAATTTGTGGACTTCAGTGGTACTTGATTGCTTATGGTTTGAGTAGGTATTTTTAACTTGGGTCCTTCTGAGGTCGGTTTGGCAAGATTGTAAAATTAGGATGAGCTTGTGTTGTGTTAATTGGGCACTCGTTTCATTTCAAATAGCATCTGACTTTCTATACATTTGTTGGTGCTTCAGTTGGACATTAGTTTTCGTGCATGATTCTTCTATCTATAATGGCCTACATATTTCCTTGTTGATCTTTTATGTTATAAGTGAATTTGTTATAATTTTTCCCAATTATATATTCTGTGTTATCTTTATGCAGGTTTAAAGGTTTCAATTGGGTGAATATGTCTGGTGAAGAGGAAGAAAATGCTGCAGAGCTTAAAATTGGTGATGGTAATCATGTTTTCTCTTGCTGTCACTTTCCAGTTTCAGCAACTTCTAACTTAACAGATTGCTTCATCAAGCTGCTTTGACTAAAGTAGAGTTTCGGCATGCCCTTGTAGTTATCTAGACATTCGTTGTTTGACACAGTGTGTTATAACTGAGAATATGATCTTCACCTACTTGCCATAGAGCTAGTTTGGGATGTTACATACTAAAGTTGAGTTGTCCATCTCCAGCTGAGTCAGTTCAAACCTGAAAGCTTTTGTATTTATTGCTCATTTTTCAATTCCTTGGAAATTTAATCATTCTACATCATAATCATAACCAAAGTTGAAGATTCTTTCTTTTTTTTTTTCTCCTGATTAAAAAATAGAAAAACCAAAGATAAACCTTTCTATCTTTTGTATTCGATTTGAGAAATTGTTCTCTATATCCCTTGGAGTGGAAATTTCTCAAATGGATGAAATCTGTCTTTCCTGGCATGCCTTATTTGGATAATGACATTGGATTTACATATCTTTGATCTATGGTGTGTTTGATCATGATCTATTGTGTGTTTGATCATGAGATTGGATTTACACGTCTCTGATGCTTGGTTTTATAACAGATGGCCTCTGTCTATTCAAATTTTGTGTTGTTAAAAGCATGTCCAAAATGCTAGGCAAAGCAAGGTTTGTTTTTAATGCATCAGATTCACATGCCAAGGAAGGAAGGAAAGAAGCCAAACAGTGAAACTAGATACATAAAAATGGAAAATTAGATTATGCAATGGGCTAGAGTGTGACAGTAAAGTCAAAGATGCTGGGCTCAGTGTCTAATGTGCTGAAGCAAGGTGCTGAGTAGGTCCAGCAGATTCATCCCCTCTCACATCATGAAAGGTGTTGCCTTTGATGAGGCACCACAAGGTGAGTGCCTTTTCACTCACCTTGGGTGCGTTACTTGTGAAATAATCAGCTTATAAGCCCAGGCCGGAGAACTCTAAAACTTGACCCGAAAAGTCCATCCCATCCTTTTATGGTTTATAGAGTTGGGTAAAATTCTTTAAGGGTTTTATGAAAAACAACAAGAACAAGTAGTCCTATCTTATTAGGTGAGGTCAGCTACATGGATTGCATTACATCATTGTGTTCTATCATTGATTAAGGTTTTAAGAATGTTGTTAACTAAAAGGTTTTGATCAACAATTTTTATAAGTGTCCTTTTTTGGCCTTCCTCTTCCCTTTTTACAGGGCTCAAAATTATCTGTTCCACTTTCTTCTTTACCTGGTTTTATAAAATAACACCTAAAAAAAAAAAAATTGGGGACTGCTATTTGTTTACAGAAGCTAGTCTAGAACAGAAAGCGCTGTGCAGAGGAATCAAGAAAGATGTTCAAGAGTTGAAGGATACATTGATATGGATCCAATAACGAAAGAGAGGAAAGCAATGAGGTTTATGGATCTGAATCTGATGGTTTTAATTCAGATGACTAATTTGATAGACTATTAGACTTTTTTTTTCATGTCTTTAAATAATTTTTTTTTTAATGTAACTGGTGAATTTTGTCTATTTTTATTTTGTTAATGGGCCATGATTGTCATGGCTACTTCATTTATCTTTTTCTTTTTTCTTTTTTTCAATTCCACATCTTTTCTTATTTTGGTACTTTGATTTAGTGAAGTTTGTGCTTTCGTGCTGCCTCTCCTCTAAGTTGTCTTAGAGGTTGAGCATCTTAAAGGGAGAAATGACGTTGTGGGTGACTTTCTGAAACCTTGTTGGGAAATTTGACATTTAGGTATTACACAAAAAAACACATACAATATTACACAATGCACGTCTAGCTAAACAAACATCTAATAAGACAAATACATGCACCCACAACATGCTCGATCACACACATGCACATCATCAGCAATCAAACATGTATGTAGATGCATGCCTGCATGAACACAGGTATATACATGGTGAGAGTAGAGATCCATTGACAATATCATTAATCAAAATTAATCTTACACTATTAAAAAACTTTCTATCAGAAGAGTTTCTCACATTTTATTATCAATATTAATATAAAACATGAATATATCGCAAACACAATATTCATAAGCCATGAATTGTGCAACTTACTTCTTGGAGTCTGCATGGGTTGCACTAGTTCAAAAGTTCCTAAGATTGAGATCACGCTCATAAAATTTTATATCAATCAAGAGATGTTCTGAACCCCATCTAATTAGCTTAAAGTTTTACAAATGTAGGAACTATTGGCTAAACAATTTCTTGATATATTGCCCCCTCCTCCTAAAATTAGGCATGCAATCAAATGTCTGATTGTTGTTTTAATGTTTCATTTGGGTGTGTCCTTTCACCTTCCGTGGCATTTAAGAATTGCTGAAATTCTTAATTTGTTTTTTAAAAGCTATATGATAGATAATTAATATATATCTTCGATTGAATGAAGTTGTTTCACAGTGGGATATCTTTATTATTGTGTCACATTTCATATTTGTCAGAGTTTTTGAAGGCAAAGTGCTTGATGAACTGTGAAGTTGCATTAATTCTTGAGCACAAGTATGAGCAGCTTCAGCAGACTTCTGAAGATCCTATGAATCAAGTTTCTCAGTGAGTATACCTACACCAAGTTTACTGTGTTTCATGAAAGGTCAGGAATAAGCTTCTTAAGGGAGCTATTCATTTTAGATCTCAGTGAAAGGCCATATATAGCTTGGCTTGCATCCAATTCCCCCAAGATATTTTCTTAACCACTGATGGAACTAAATGATCCATTGGAAAAGGGGCATCTAAGTCACCCTTGAACTTTAATCATGTTAATGCTACATATCATGTCTTCTGACTTGTGTATCTGTAGCATGCCAATTGCCAATAGTAACAATTGACATCAAGAAAGATTGAGTTGCTGGTAGAAAGCTTTTTGGCACATTATATGGTAAACTGTTTTTCTCCTTTTCTCAGGGTATTTGAGAAATCATTGCAGTATGTGAAGCGCTTCAGCCGCTATAAAAATCCTGATGCTGTTAGACAAGTACGAGAGTATCCTTGAAAACTATGTTGAATCTGACTTACAGTTCTGTTCTGTCTGATACACTCACCTTTGATCAAATTATATTAGTGTCTATATCATTATTTGTTTCACCAATCCTTTTTTTTTTTTTTTTTTGCATTCATATCCTGTCTGACTATCCTGTCATCTGGCTTGAATCTAAAATCTCCATCTTCAAATAATGTTGTCATTTGTCATATCAACAATTAACGACCAAGAAAATGTCCAGTATTTTTACCTTGAATTCAATGATTATCGCATTCTTGTCTGTATCAGTTAGAGAATTTTAAATCTATGCTAGTCATTTGTTCATATGAAGTTAATAATGAAAATCTTGAAATTTCATATAAACATCTCAGTTGTGATCTTAACTGATATACAGAATTCTAAGTAGATATCAGTTGGCTGAGTTTGAGGTAATGAACCCTTTCCCTTCATATGATTTGTTCAGAAAGAAAATTCTCATATTAAAATAAGGGAAATTTTAAATGTTTTGATTTAATGCAGCTGTGTGTCCTTGGAAATCTTTGCCCTGAAACAGTTGAGGAAGCTATTGCAATGGTGCCTTCCATTAAGGTAATTACCTTTTGCTTCCCCACCATCTTCCTGCTTCTACTTTTCCTTAGAGCTCTTGTTGCTTTAATAATATGGTTCTTGAATCGTTTACAGGTGGCCTCCAGAGCCCTAGTAATATATTTTTGCTTTAATCAACCTGATTTGAAGTTGTTTCTACTTGAAATAGAATAAGCAAATAATATTTTATCCAGTCCATCATCTGATTGTGTAAAATGAAATATGCTGTCTCTGGAATTACTCATTAGTAGACTTATTTGCAGATTTTGCTAGAAGTGTAACTGCTAAATCTAAGTTTGTTGCTTACTACTTCATTCTTTTTACCTCCAGACAAGAGGACGGTCTCAGGATGATGATGCGATTGAGAAAATGTTGAATGACCTGTCGCTTATCAAGAAATTTGAATAGATACCAGTCCAATTATCCCCAGAAGTTATAAACATTCTGTGTTGTGTAAGATTTTATGTATAATATGGTGAACCCCGGACTACGAACGAGGATGTTTTTGTAGTATTTATACCTATCTTGTGACTTCAACCAACATTTATGTATACTATGGTGAGGAATTCAAGGCTATCTTCCACTAAGACACAAATGATCGTCATTGGATTTAAGCTGCTACACAGGACAAAGTGCTGCTACATCTCATAACTCTGCATATCAGCTCTGTCACTGTCAGCATAGGGCTTATAGCAGAGAATGTAATATCTGGCTGAAGATTTATAAACATTGAGGAAGCACTTACTGCTACTGCTTCATCTCTTTCAATGATGTAGAACAGCAACTCTTTTTAGAAACGTTCATTGCATACTGATTGTCGTTCATTTCAACTCCAAAGATTTGGTTGTTAACAGAGCACAATGGTGATGTTTAATTTATGAACAGACCCTACCTAGTCAAATAAGGTTATTTGTTGTTGTTGTTGTTGTTGTTGTTCATTGCATAGTGATCCTTCAATATTTATCCTTTCATGTTTCAGAGCTTCCTTACATTTTTGTTTTTTTGAATGGGAATGGAATATCGCTGAACAAATATGTACAACATACAAGAGCAAAAAGGAAACAGATTAAGCAGCATGGTCGCTAGCGTTAACTAGCTCGCGCGTTTTAACGATGAGGAGTTTCATGTTCATCCATAAAGATTTGCCTATTCCTCTTTGTCCGGAGTTTCAAACAGAGGGTGCCACATCCAAGTCTCCAATGCGTAGCCGTGAGCCATGAATTTAGGTTCTAGATAATCCACTCCTTGAAGGGTATGGTAAAGAATGTTGGTGATTCTACATGGGGCAGGACCAAATTCCAACAGGCGCAAGCGGTGGGGCAGTGTCGGAGTATGTGGTCAATGTCTTTGGTGTCAACATTACAAGCAGAGCAGGAAGCATCTTTAGAAATTCCACGGCATTGTCTCAGCATGGTGAGCAGTCGGTTCTTCATCATTAACCAAAGAAAAGTTCGAATACATTGCAATCCAAGCCACTTCCAGATCCATTTCCAGAAAAACTCAGGTTCATTCCAGGTAAGCTCTTGTGTGGTCGCAAACACACAAGCGACAGAGAATTCTCCATTCAGGTTGAGACTCCAATATCAGGTGTTAGGGTTGGTGCTGGTCGGTGGCAGAGCAGTTGATGTGAGCTTGAGGTTGATATTTGATGGAAGGAGGCTTTGGAATAGTGACCATTTCCATTGACCAAATTCATTAATGTAGTCCTTAACAAGCCGTTGGAGGACAGCATCAGGAATGTCGGCATATGTGAGGAACTTAAGAGGCCCCATATCACCAATCCAGTTGTCTTGCCAGAATTGGATTCTATTACCATTTCCCAGGCGCCAGGTAGGTGCAATTCAGAATCAGGCCATACTTTAGCTATTCCACGCCAGAAGTGAGATGCAGATTGAGTGCGAAACATGTACTGAGTACTTTTTGGCCAATTGTAATTAGAACGGAGTATGTACCCAAAATTTGTCCGGTCGATGAACCATATTGAATGCACCCCAAATGAAGTTTCTGATGATTTTTTCAATTGTTTTGCAACGAGATGTTGGTAGAAGGGAAGTTTGCATTGCATAATAAGTGATGGCACTAAGAGTGGCTTTTGCAAGAATTATGCGTCCAGCAAGAGATAAAGTGTTGGCTTTCCAACAAGTGAGTTTCTGTTGGACTTTCTCGATGAGGTACCCGTATGTGTCTTTAGTTACTTTGTGGTGGAGCAAGGGTACCCCTAGGTATTTACCAAGACAATCAGTTGATTTGAATTTAAGCAAATTGCATACCTGGCTTTGCTCTCTTATGGTTACATTTTTGGAGAAGTGTATCCTTGTTTTGCTTTGACTAACCAATTGACTAGAGGCACGACAAAATTCTGCTGGGACATTTTGCATCAGGAGTATCATCTCAGTGGAGACCTCTCCAAAAAGAATCGAGTCATCGACAACGAAGAGGTGAGATAATGGTGACCCTTTTCTGCTAATCATGACAGTGGCCCAGTTACTCTGTTGAACTTCTTTGATTTTTTTTTTTTATTAAGAAAAGAAGGCAGGGCCCAAATGCAGAAAAATTAAGGGAATTGAGGAGTTTAATCCCATACAATCCTTTTGCACTAGATCCCTCAGAAATGGGGGAGCCGAGTCAAAGAGAGCTGAATTAGAAATGCCCAAACTTTGCCAGAGAGTCAGCTACCATGTTTTGTTCATGAGGAGCAAAGTTAACACTAACACTCCAGCTATAATTGAGTAACACTCCAGCTATTGAGTAGCTATTGGATCTCCAAGAAAACAAGGCTTCTACTATAATGGTGTTCAGAATAGTCATTAATTAAGTCCCCCAAATTTTTGGAGTCAGATTCAATAATAATTTTCTTGTAGCCCATGTCCTAGGCCAAACGAAGGCTCTTATAAACAGCCCATTCTTCAGCTTCAAAAGGGCTGCATTGACTAATAGATGTAGAGAAACCGACTATCCAAGTACCATCACCATCTCTGAGCATTCCTCTGCAACTAAGCTTGTCTGAATTAACAGTTATTGCACCATCAACATTAAATTTAAACCACGCTTGCGGAGGATGGTTCCATTTATCAGTTGAAGTATCAGCTTCATGAACATGAGATAGAGAACTCTCACTCATCATAAAGGATTTCCACGTTTGAAGAATGTTTGCAGTAGGATCATTCGGTTTTTGGAAATCCTGTTGAAATAGTAAACAATTTCTCCATTTCCAAAGTTTCTAGATTGCAACACTCCAAATTGGGTTCCAATTAGAAGAAGCTCCGGTAAAGAAGCCTTAAGATTGTAGGCAATCCAATCTTTCAAATTCAAGTCAAAGAAAGTAACTTGGTGATTAAGAGGTAATAACTTGCACCATATTTGCTGAGCATAAATGCAGTCCCTAACAACATGCAAAATATCCTCATCCGCTACCTCACACCAAGAACACATAGATGAGCACTCAGCCCATGAAGAGCACCACTTATTTGTAGGGAGTTTGTTGTGATAAGCTAGCCAAATGAATCGATGAATTCTCTCAGCCCCTTTCCATTTCCAAATTAATTTAGAGTTAGGATCAAATAAATTTGTAGGTGATTTTTCAATCATGTAATAGGCAATTTTCAGAGTGAAAGACCCACTAGAGGTACCATTTCAAAGCATAATATCACCATCAACATTATGGGAAGGGGGAAAGTAGAGATAAGTTTAGAGAGAACCTCATTAGAAACAATGAAAGATAGATATGTAAAATCCCAGGTGCCAAAGCGTGTCCAATCTATTACCTTGGACTTTAATTCCTTCATTGAGAGTTGCCTAATCATCAAATCCTTGATTTTTTGATCGGAAACAGCCACTGGTCCTCAAAGAAATAGATAGATTCTCCATCCATGAGTTGCCATCTAGTTCTTTCTTCAACTAAATCTTTATGCTGACAAATAAACTTCCATAGAGAAGAATCCCATTTAGTAGAATTCAACAACTTCTCCTCAGATCTGAGCATATATTTTTTCTATAGCAGATCAATCTAAAGGCTTTTATTACCAAAAACAAGATTTCAAGCAAGCCTTGTTCCACAAGCTTCATTAATGGAGGATAGTTTTTTGAACCCAAGGCCTAAGCTTTAGGAAGTGTCACTATATTCCAACTGATCGGGTGAAATCCCTTTGAATGAGAATTGCCCCAAATGAAATTTCTTTGTATTTTCTCTATCTCATTACAAATAGCAACAGGTACTTTAGTTATTTGCATAGGGTACAGAGGGATTGCACTTAGCACAAATTTACTCAGGCTAATTTGGCTTTCACTCTTTCAATAATATATCAAAACTTATTTCTTGGCCGTCTGTCATCTGAGAGAGGGAAGCCTAGATATCTGCCTATCTTTGCAAAGATTTTCATGCTTGCTATTCTTTTAATCCTACCTTTCATATCAGCATTGACATTTTTGGAGAAGTAAAGTAAAGATTTTGAAAAGTTCACTTTTTCTCCAGAGGCAGAGCAGAAATCCATAAGACATTTCATCATAATTAAGGCTTGTTTCTCCGCAGCCTCACCAAAGAGGAGCAAATCATCTGCAAACATCAAGTGGGAAATCGAAGGACCTTGTTTGGTAATGTGAATGGGTTGCCAATGACCAGAATCAACCACATTATTAATAAGATGAGAGAGTCTATCCATACACAAAACAAACAAAAAGGGTGAAATTGGGTTTCCATGCTAAAGACCTCTTTGAAGGGTAAAGAAATCAGATTGATTTTCATTCCACAAAACATTAAAAGAGATAGTAGTAATGCAATTCATGACTAAAGAGATAAAGTCAGAATTCATACTAGCTTCAAGTAGCACTTGTTGAAGCAAATCCCACCTTATGCAATCATATGCTTTTTTAATATCAATTTTCATCACGAATAGGCTTGTTTTTCTCTTGTATTTCTTCATAATGTGCAAACTTTCCTGTCCAATAATAACATAATCCTAGATTTGACGGCTTGGAACAAAACTAGTTTGAAAATTGCTTGAGCTAATATTTCCATACAGCGCACAAATATATAAGGGAATAGGGAATCACCTTGGCAAATCCCTCGTGAAGAGGGAAAGCATTAGGAAGGTGTGCATTAGGATTGTGTTCAATCATCTTTTGAAAATGGCCTCTCTTTTTTTTTTTTTTTGGATAGAGCTAGGGATTAGGATTGGTCTTTTAAAAGTTTTGAGCCCAAAAGTTTGAAAATGCATTAGAGTTTTTTTGAAGCCCGACCTTGGGTCTAATGGTGTCCTTGCAGGCCTCAACTCTTAGTGTATATATATATATATTAATTTAAATAACTAATACATGCATTTACAATTAATAAAATATTTCAAATAAGATTAAGTCTAGAAAAATATATTAAAGAAAATCCACAACAAATTTGCAACGCAGATTCATTTAAGCATCATCAGCAAAGATATTAAACTTGAAGAGCCTAAACATCCAAGTATCAACATCATTATCATCATTGTTGTTTTCTCACTTGAATTTTTTTAAAAAAAAAAATTAATAAGATCTAAAAGAGCTAGCCTTTTGTCCTGTAGGGTTAATCCTTTGAAGCCTGAAATTAAATCATAATCCCTAAAGTAATTGCCCCATCCTCATTAATTTTGAGTTTAAACAGGCTTGACTTGTTTTTTGGATTCTAATTTTAGCCTTGGCCTTTTTTTTTTTCAATTGTGCTATTCCTCTTATATTAAACAATACATAAATCTAATAAAATTAACATAAGGAACGAATATGACAAATGACATAATTTGATTTGTTTTTTTTTTTGCCAAAAATTTGATTAGTTGAAAAACGAAAATTAAAATAAAACATCGGCACAAAGTTAAGAAATATAAATGATATTTAAATTAGTTTCAGTCAAATTTGAACAAATGATTTTTTTTTTACATTGATTTCTGTTTTAG